GATGTGGTCACTATAATAATGGTGGACGCAAGCACCAGCATCCCAGAACACAAGATGTGATTTCTTTACCCTTATGGGGGCAGGAGGAGTCCAGCTGGAGGGCAAGGGTGTGGCCCACAGGGCAGGAGGACGTCTCAGACTGTACGTCAGCCACAAACAGCCTGTACCAAGGGCTTTCCCCAGCCGGGCTGGGGCTCAGGGTCACCGGCCGGCCACTGCAGGGTAGTGCCTGGGCCGCAGCCCACAGTTTCCATGGGAGGAAGAGCTCCTTCTCCTTTTCCTCTCCCACAGCAAACAGCTGGCCCAGGAGGCCCGATTACCAGCCTCTGTGGCTCAGAGTGGGAACAGCATGGCTGCGCCCGGTGTCGATATAAATCCAGCATCAGACCTGGTGGGCACCAGATGCAGGCTGGGGCTGGGTGCCCCTGGCTCTGGTTCACAAGCCCAGTGACGCCTCATGTGGGTGGGCAGAGCCCGGGGGGCCGCGGCTGGCGTTTCCACCTCATCTACCCTTCAGCTGTGTGGTAAGGGCAGGAGATGCTACATAAAGTGGACCATGAAATTATCTGCTCAGATTTACCCAGCAAGGTCCCAGAGGGCAGGCTCCATGGCTCTCCTGTTCCCACCTGGATCCCCAAGGCCCACAACAGTCCGGTACCCAAATATTTACTGACTAAAACAATCCCCTTGGGGCTTCCCTGGTGGCACAGTGGTTAAGAATCCGCCTGCCAGTACAGGAGACACGGGTTTGAGCCCTGGTCCGGGAAGATCCCACGTGACGTGGAGCAACTAAGTCTGTGCGCCATAACTACTGAGCCTGCGCTCTAGAGCCTGCGAGCCACAACTACTGAGCCCACGTGCCACAATTACCGGAGTCCACGCGCCTAGAGCCCGTGCTCCGCAACAAGAGAAGCCACTGCAATGAGAAGCCTGTGCACCGCAATGAAGAGTAGCTCCTGCTCTCAGCAACTAGAGAAAACCCGCGTGCAGCAGCTAAGACCTAATGCAGCCAAAAATTAAATAAATGAATAAATAAATTATTTTTAAAAAATCCTCTTGTCTGCAAAGTGCCTGAAACCCAGGGCCCAGCACATAGGAGGCACCTAGCAGAGACTAATTCCCTCTCCCTGACCCTGGGGATGAGCACAGCACCAGACCTCCAGGGATTCTGGCACCCGTGACCTTTCTAGAACATCGCTTATGGTCCAAGCAGGGGAGGGCATGCGAAGCTGGGTATAGCAGAAACCACGAGACTAAAGCACACTGTGACCCAGATGAACATTTACTGAGCACCCATGTGTCACACAGTGCACAGAAGCAGTGTCTAACGCTCTATCTTACTTACTTATTTACAGAGACCCGAATGCCATCGGCCCATTTTGTGGATGAGGAACTGAGGTTTAGGAGATGAAGCAGCTTGCCCGGGGCCAGGGCGCTGGTGAGTGGTAGAACCGAGATTCGAACCCGGGACTTCTGGACTCCAGAGCCTGCCTCCCAGCCTGTCCCCGACCATGCAGAAGAGCTGCACACCAGACGGCCTGGCGTCACTCCTTGACACCTGCAGCCACGCTGGTTCCAAGCTGACCAGAGGGACGGATTCTGCCCTCTTCCCAGTGCCCCGCCCCCTTACCCCTTCCCTGGCCCATGCTTCCTTCCTGGGGTCCAGTTTAGGAGAACGTGAGCGCCATCCACCCCGAAAGCCCCTCAGGGCCTCCCTACAGCCGCAGATGATTGTGATGCCACAACCGCAGATGAGCTGAGAAGACGAGGAGGGCGAGCGGGTGGACGGAGGGCTGGATACTCGGAATTTCCCACAGGGCTGTGTCCCATCCACTGGCTCTAAGTTCCTGTAAGCCTCTGTCCACGCCAGCCTCGATTTCCCTCGGCTGCCGTACACACCTAAACGGGTGGCAGCTGCACGACTCTGTTCCCACCCCTGCTCCTCACGCTGAGGGGGGAGGAGGAGGTGGAGAGGAAGTCACTTGTGGTTTCCCAGGGCAACACCTGGAAACACGCTTTCCGCAGGGACACAGGAAGCCCCCGCCCGTTCCTGAGGGCGAGGAGAGGCAAGCGCTGGGCGGAAGCTCACAGCACCACAGCACGTGGCTCTGCTGCGGGCCGGCCCAGGGGAACGTCCTGGAGCCCTTGGCTTGAAGAGGAATGTGGAACCAACTTCAACAGGAAGCCCCTGCCCACCAGGAAGGGCAGAGCTCCCTGGGGAAGGGCTCATGGGGGCAGGGACCTGGTCCTGGCCTTTGCAAGAGAGCAGCACTATAAGCACCGCCGCCCGCCCCGGGAGGTGACCTGCCCAGAGTCCCTGCAGGGAGCTAGACCCGAGTTCCCATAAGCCACTTCTCTAAGGAGCATCAGATCCTGGCAGCAGGACAAGGGGAGGAGGTAGTTGGCTCTGGGGCCACCCACAAAGTCCTGCCAAACTCAACGTTTCAAGGAAATGGAAAGATGAGTTGCCCTGACATGGGGCTGCCTCACTTTATAGAATAGCAGCCACCAAAAAGGGCGCGTCCCTTCCCTGCTTTCCTGCAGAGCCTCGGTCTATGAGCAGCATCAGGACCAGGATCCAGACGAACTGGCAGTACAGGGTGGTGGGGACGGTGACCCCGTCGGGCCACAGGTCTGTAAAATGCAGATTGCATCCGCCTCCTGGGGCTGGAGAACAGAACACCCCGAAGAGTAGCCCCTTCTCAGTCCGACTCCCCAGCAAGGTAGGCTGTTTCCTGGACAACGGATGCATGTCCCTCTCTGTGGCCATACTCCAGGCCTCCCTGGCATCTGGCGTCCAGGTCCTGAGGAACTGAAACCCCACTGGTGATTACAGCCCCTGTTCTCAGCCCCACGTGGACTTGGCTGGTGATGTGACGGCTTGAGGCTACGTGCAGTACCCAGGGGACTGTGTCCGGACCTCTCAGGACCACAGAAGTAAGAAACGCTAGGTGGGGCAGGCCCGTCCTGGTCCATCAGCCCTGGAGCAGGCTCTCCTCTGGGTGGACACGCCTCCCTCCCAGGATTCCGCCCCACAGAAAGCTTCTTTTTCCTGCATATCTAAACGGATGATCTGATACAGGTTTCCAGGATCTGCAGAAGACCACCCCTCCCTCCCTCAGTGTCCCAGCCCCAGTCCCAGGGGCCAAGCTCCCACCCAAAGACAGTTCGACCTTTAGCCCACCAGACTAGCTGGCTGAGCATGACCTTTGCTCCCACAGAGTGTTCCGGAAGGTGGGCCAACGTGGGCCGACGTGCCAGGGATGTCTTAGAGGCAGGCCGAGATACAGATCCCTCAGCCCTCTGGCCAGCAGAGGGAGCCCTGGGGAGGACCCAACCCCTGGGCTGGGCCCCTCTGTGACCTCAGTGGGGGAAATACATTCCACTTTCTGGGTCTTCCCTTAATGTGAAAGAAGGCTGGGAGGTGCTGACCAGGAGCAGCAATTCCTAACCTGGCTTAGGCCCCTAGGTTTGAAAATGCAGATTCCCAGGCCACGTTCCAGTCCTTGGACTATCTGGGTTTGGGAACCAGGCCCTGAATTTGGAGAAGAGCCCCCGGGGAGCTGTGCCCAGCACGCTCTGGAGACTCTAATCCAGAAACTCCGAGGAAGCCCTGTGACTGCAAATAGAACCTACATTTTCCAGATGAAGCACGGTGGCAGAGTAGCCCAGTCCAGGAGGGCCCACACCATCTATTTGGGAAGCAGGAGTGTCCCCACAAAGATGGGGACGAGGGGCTGGGGCAGCCTCTCCCCTCTACCCCCCCAAGCCATGTCCCAAATCAGGTGCGGTCTGTAAGCCTGATGTTAAAAACATAGAATTCTTTTCAGAAAAACATCAAGTTCTGGACTTGAAAATTTGGAATTCTGCTGCCTCTCAGGATGGCAGGACACCAAGAAAAAACCTCTGAGATGAGGCCAAAGAGTTCAGGCCTTCATTTCCCATCGTGGACTGCAGAGGAGTTTGGTTAAAGATGAAGACAGACTGGGTGTGTCTGGGGATTCTCTCGCACACGAACTCCTGAATTCATTCATTTGATGGATATCTACTAAGCACCTACTACGTGTCGGGCTTGGGCACTGGGGATACAGTGAATGAAACAAAGATCTCGGCCAGCACGGAGCTGATATTTTAGCCGGGGAGACACAAGATAACCAAATAGATAAAATACTTAAATTAGGGTGGTCAGGGAGGGCCACACCGAGAAGGTGACATTTCTGCAAAGACCCGAAGAAGGCCACACCGAGAAGGTGACGTTTCTGCAGAGACCCGAAAAAGGTGAGGAAAGGAGCCATATAGATAACTGCGGAAAGCGCATTCCAGCAAAGGCAAGTGCAAAGGTCCTGGGGCAGGAGCACACCTGCTACTGTTCTGGGAAGGACAGTGAGGAGGCCAGTGTGGATGCAGCAGAGGTGAGGTCAGCACGGAGCTGGCAGTCAGATGACACTGGGCCCGTCCAATGAGATGGGAGGACGCTCAGGGCTGGGGGCAGAGTCACGCCTGTTCTGACTTACTTATAGGTAGGAGATGTCATCAAATAGATAAGGTATAACTGTCTAAAGGTCACTTATGGCCTCAGAATATCCTGTCCCAGCAAATATACAACACATGGGCAAAACAGCCTGCCCGTGCTGGAAGGGCTGGAGAGTCTGAGCATGCCCATAAACGTAACACACATGGCTGTTTCTCTTACTGCATGGGAAAGCCTCGATGCCCTGGGCATTTGAGTGCCGTCACTAGGGGTTACTGGCACTTCCCAAGTCTCCATCTGGCTGGCCGTCTGGCACACAGGCTCCCCAGCCCTGGGCTGTGCCTGCATCCCAGTGCAGCTCTAACCCACAGTTCAACACTTAGGAGGTGTTCGCTGAGTGACTTAATGCCCACCCTTCCCACCAGCCTCCCCCGCCCTCATGGGTCCAACTCTCCATCCTGAAGACCCGGGGTTGGACCCTCGGAGCCCCCAGCAGTGTAGCCCGGGAGCCCCTCCCCCCCGAACTCACCGGGCATGGAGAAGGGGGACAGGAAAGCGGCCTCGACCAGCTCTGGCTCTGGGGGTGGCGGCGGCTGTTCCCGCTCCTGTTGCAGCTCTGCAGGGTTTTCCACAGGAACGTTCCCGTTCTCGATGCTCTCGTGCCTCCCGTTCTGAAGTGGTTTGCTGCTCACACCGTTTGCCGAGTTGATCAACCTCTGCCTCTGTGCGGACAGGAGGCAAGACAGACACCCAGGCGTGTGACAAAGTGTCGCCCACGTGGCGGCCCTTAAGGGTTTCGAGAACGACACCCTGGAGATGGGTTTGCCTGAAAAATGGCCCAGGGACTTTGGAATCCAGCTAAGTTTGCTCAGTCAGAGCCCTGGGCCTCCTCTTCTTAGCGCCAACCTGACAACCCATCCCATGTCACTGGATGACAGCGATCATTCTGCATCCGCCCAGTAGATGGTCATAAACCACCTGAAGACAGTCACACAGGAGAGACTTTGCATCGTTTAAAAAAATTTTTTTCCACACAAAAAGTGCATTTATATTATGTGTCCAACAGCCCAATGATGGTTCACATCAAGATATAGAACATTTCCAGCCCCTCCAAAGACTCCTTTAGGGTCCCCTCTCTCCAGGGGTAACCAAGGTAACGCCATTCTGACTTTTATAAACATCAATTAGTTCTTCCTGAACTTGAGCTTCCTACAAATGGATTCAAAGAGTACATATTATTTTACATCTGGCTTCTCTCACTCAACTGAATATCTGTGAGGTTCATCCATGTTGCTGCACACAGCAGTCACTTGATATTTTTCAGGGCTGTATAGTAGTCCATCCTGTGAATAACACACAACATATCCTTTGCTCGTTGATGGGCATTTAGGTTATTTCCCCTTTTTGGTTATCATGAAGAATGCCATGAACATTTGTGTACACATCTTTTTGTGGACATATGCGCTCATTTCTCCTGGGTATTTATCTAGGAGTGGGGTTGCTAGGTCATAAGGTAGGTGCAAGTTGAACCATTTTACACTCACACCAGCAACGGATTACAATTTCAGTTGCTTCCCATCCTGATCAACGTTTGATACCGTCAATCCTTTTCATTTTAGCCATTCTGGTGGATGGGCGGTGGTATCTAATGGTGGTTTTAATCTGCACTTCCCTAACAACGAATGATGTTGAGCATCCTGATTGGGTTAGCGGCCATTCGGAAGGCCTCTGCTGTCTAAGTCTTTTGCCACGTGAAATGGGTGTGCTCTGAACCGAACCGTCCCCTTCCCTCCCCCATCTCCTTGTAGTAGCTACTGACCAAGTCTGCCTCCTTTCTACCCAAGCAGAAGCTGACTTTGCTCGCCAAGTCTGTGGGTTTCTACAAAACCAGGGAAACGTAGAGGCCACATTTCAAGAAATCAACAGGTTTTCATGCTCCCAAGAATCTGTTTGCCTTTGCACAGCTCATCTTTGTCTGGCTCCCATTAAAAATATTTATGGGGCTTCCCTGGTGGCGCAGTGGTTGAGAGTCCGCCTGCCGATGCAGGGGACACGGGTTCATGCCCCGGTCCGGGAAGACCCCACATGCCGCGGAGCGGCTGCGCCCGTGAGCCATGGCCACTGAGCCTGCGCGTCCGGAGCCTGTGCTCCGCAACGGGAGAGGCCACAACAGTGAGAGGCCTGCGTACCACAAAAAAAAAAAAAAAAAAAGAGGCATAGGTTACAACACGAAGGAGGTGACGGATCCACATGCTGAGAGAGACAAACCAGAAGGTTTCTATAAGTTTCTCAGTTTCCTTCTAGAGTTGCTCTACTCATAGAGAACAGGTGTGTATTCATTCTTTTTTTGCCCTGAATAACAGTTAAAATAAACAATCCATACTTCAGACTAGCCTTTCTCCAATTAGTTTTACTCTAGTACTTGACAAAATACTTAGCAGAACATGGAAGGCATGGTATTTGATTGCTACCTGCCTTAAAATCCTTCCCGATAAGACCATTTGCTGCCTGCGCGTGAGGTTTGGGCTTCCTTCCTTCAACAGATGCGGTGATAAATGCCAGCCTGGCAGAGGACACCCCAGGCCCAACACCAGAAAGTGTGCTGACAAGCCAGGGCCTCCTCATACTGCCAGAACCCATCCGAGGCCACTCGCTCTCACGGTCTCATGGTCCTTGAAGCAAACTCACCTCGTTAATTATGATCCTGCTGGCCATGCGCAGACGAGTCCTGGGCCCAAACTTATTGGTGATCATTACGCGTAAGCCTGCTTCTGGGAAGGTGAACTTGGGAGGGCTGGAGCTCATGACCTCATCCACCATCACCACCGGGTTTTTGCTGTACTGCGGCTCCTCCTTCACTATATTGAGCACAAAGCCATGATTAGCGCTGAGATCCCCCGGGGCCAAACCCAAGGGCTGGGGCGACTGACTTCCCCTCTCGGTGCAGACTTCTCGGGCTGTGGTCTCGGCAGCTGGTAGCCGCCTGGAAGCCTAGCTGCAGCTCATCCCCTAAGTCAAGTGGGCCACTGGGTCTGAACCGCCTGCAAGCACTGGACAGAGCCCCAAAGTCCCCCTGTTACAGGACCACTCCCCCATCTCCACCGCCAGCCCCTCCGCCAATCGATGCCCTTCTCTTCTGGGGCCCAGTCTTGGCGAATTGCAAGGGTCTTTCAGTTCCTCATCTAAGCCTCACAGGGCAGCCCGCCTACAAAGTGGACAGGATTCCTGCCACCTCTCACCCCTGACTCTGAGAGGATCTTTCTTTCCTGCTGTTTACAGAGGCTCAGACAAAACTTTACAAATTGACAAGGGCCCCCTGGGATGGAAAACGCTGGGAGGCACCAGACAGCACCGGCCCTAAACTTCCCATGAGGCCACCTGCTCTGTCTTAGAGGAACCATCTCCACCTGGCACAGAAGGATGCTTCCAAATTTGTTCTCCACGAGGTAGGCAGTGAGGTCAAAGATCTTGCCCTGGGCGAGGCAACTGAGACCCAGGAGAAGCCTGCTTGCGGAGGGTGCACGGAGAGCTGCTGGCCGAGCCCAGTGTCTCCAGTAAAACCAGCACCCTCCAGCAGGGAGGCCACTTTCTCTGACCCTTTGCTGCCACTCATGAGGCTGAAGAACAAATCTCCCCAGTGCCCAGAGCTGCCCTGCCACCTTCCCAAACATGCTCCAAGCTCGAGTCCTGGGGGGTCTGACATTTAATTCCAGAGGCCCAGAGGGTCCAGAAACAGAAGCACTCCGGAACACAGCACACAGAAGCAGGGGGCTTTCCCCTCCAAGGGGCTATCAAGGCGGATATGCCCATCCCTCTCCACTGGTCACCGGCTCCCGGTGAGTGTCCTTCCTGGATAACAGGGTAACCAGGAGTAGTCGAGAGCAAACCTAAGCAGGAGTTAATGGCACAAACACGAACAAATGCACACCAGCCACACACACCCTCACCAAAGAGGCAGCAAGGCTCAGCAGACAGGAGGCGTGTGGTTAGAACCAAAGCCAGGAGGACCATGCATTTTTTTCGGAGACAGACACTAACCTCCAACAAGGCGTGCGCTGGACTCACGGATTTTGTTTTGTAAATGCATGTGTTATGGCTTGGATGAAAGCAGATTACTTACAATTTAGAAGAGGAGAAGAGTTAAGGAGACAAAGGCCAACAGAGATTGCCAGAGGTGATTAGCGTGCGGTGGACACCGGGGAGTCTGGGACAGCATTCTCGATAGTGGCCCAGATGCCAGGGGGTTGGTTATGTGAAGGAGGGTGTTAGTAGAGGGGCTTCGATGCTCGGGGCCTCTGGCCTTCTGGATGGCCCCCTCTCCTGGCTCGGTCCCACTCTGAGGATCGGGGAGCCCCCATGCCCGCTGCCCCGCCCTGCTTCAGGAAAGCTGGACTCCTTCCCTCCTCTGCAGCCTGCACCTCAGAGGGAGGGGGGAACCAGCAGAACAGCCGCAGGCTCCGTGGGTAGAACCAGCCCTACCGTGGGCACCACCTGGGGGAACAGACGAGCTCAGGAGGAGGGAAGAGCCATGATACCTGACTCCTCAGGCACCTCGTCCTGGCACCGCCCACCAAGTGGCAGCACAGGGTGATATGTCCAAGCCAAGGGCGCCGGCCCAGCAGGGAACCCAACCAGCTACAGCATGTTTCTCCGGCAGTTCAGCCTAAGGCCAGGTATCCTTCCCTCTCTCCCTGCTCCAAGCCAAAGTTGTGTCTAGGGCCAGGGCAGCTTGGAAAGGACCCAGAGTGAGCCCAGCCAGTGATCAAGATGGCCTTGGTTGTCAGGCCGTGTTCAAGGCCACCTGACAGCCAACAAGGAGAGGCCAGACCCCCAGCCGTGACAGGACACGAAGGCGTGCCTTCCCGCCTTTGCGCTCGTCACCTTTTCTTGGTGTACCGTGTTCTGCTTTCTTGAGCTGAACTGAAGTGTGATGTAAAAAACGTGTAAAACTTGTAGGGAGAAAAAACCCCAAACAACTGTACGCAGAACAAAGTTGGAGGATGCTATTCCCCTCGAGAGAAAACTGGCTCCAGCTGACTTGGTGAGCTGAACTGTAGGACCTTTAAGAACATTTAAGTACATAAAGGTATTTAACAGAAGTGGGGGTAAAAAGGCAGTGTGTCCTCTCCTGTCAAGAGGTTGCGTTAAAAATGTTTGATTTTACATATATGGGGAAATACCAAAGCTGATACCAGCAAAGCCAGGGGTGTGCGTGTACGTGTTCTCCTGAAATAATTTAGTAGCCAGCAACCTTTGACAACCCTGGATGGGGTAGTTTACACGACCTGCCTGAAGGCTGAGGACCAGGGGAGAGAAGCTCCGAGTTGGAAAGATTCTGTGGCAGCACCGTGAGAAAAGGCAAAGTCCCGAAGCCCCGGTCTCCTCAGGCCCCTCCCCATCCCCTGGGATGGTACAGGCGCTCCTTCTTCCTGCCCCTGTCAGTCTGTCTGCTTCTAGGGGACAGCGCCCTGCACACGGCCCTCTGGGAGGGAAGGGGCATCCACCAACTGGGGCTGTATCTCTGGGTTTCCCACCTCTCCAGTTCCAGGCCTGCATCCCCCAACCCCCCAAATCTTTTCCTCCTTGGCCTTTATCTAAGCGCATTCACCCTGATAAGAGCTGGAGGGAGACCTATCTTCGCACCTTTCCCTGTGCCTCGGGGCAATCCTGTGGCTAATCTTCCAATTTTTTAGAAACTGCCCTGGGCTTCGAAATTTGGGGAAAAGCAATAAACTTGTGGGAAATCCTACTGTCGTGGGTACAAAAGTGAGGGAGACAGGCCACCAGGGAGTGCCTGGAAAGGCCCTGCACGGGCTGTGGCCTTGGGGCAGCTGGGATCAACGTGGAAGAGGAAGTGGCTCACGTCCCTGCCCCGTGGCACTGGGGACGGGCCTCTTCCGTCAGCCACAGGGGTGGCAGGTAGCTCCCGGGGCTGGCACCTGAGGGTGCGGCTATCTCCCACTGGCCTGAACGGCTCCGCACGTGGAATCTCTCTTCTTGCCACGGAGGTCCAGAGGACCCCAGGAGCACTGATCTCCCTGGACGAGGGCGGCCAGGAGCAGCCTCTGTCTTAGGAAACTGTGGGTGGGGATGCGCCGCGGTGTCCGTGGAGCTAAAATCCAGACCAGCAGCCATGCTGTTCCCTCCCCTTCTGAGACCGGGGCAGCCTGCTCTGCTCAAGAAACAGGACACACGGCACAGCCCCGCCCTCTGCAGGCCTCCTTCCTCACCCCGCCCGCCCGCGGGTACGCCTGGCAGCCAGGCTGTAGCCTTGGCCGCACTCACACCCTCTCCCCACCAGCCTCCCTCCTTCCACGTGGAGAAATCCACCCCTCACTCAGCACCCACGACAGGTGCCTTCCTACTGGGGGTTACCTGGGACGGGACAGGGCATGCTTGCCCAGAGCGCACATGGGGGGAGCTCCTACCCTGACCCACCCCAGGGTGGAGGCTGGGGAGAGGGCCTCGGAATATAGATTTCGGCCTCCGCGTGTCCCAGACACTGGCAAACAGTCCACTCTGAGACATCAGTGACACCACAAAGGAATTAAAGTTACCTGAAAGAGGGGGTGACTTGCCCAAGGCCATGAGGAACAAAGGAGAAATACTCCTCGGGTAGCTGGTCCAAGGGGCTCTCTCCTGGTTAAAGGAGCCTCTAGCAACACTGTGGGTGGAACTCAACAATGTCAGCTTAAGCTGTTTTTTTCCAGATCTTAACTCCAAGCATCTATTCAGGCCTTAACACAGGTCTTGGATGAGAAAGAGTGTGAACTCTCTCGCCTTCCTGGCAGCTGTCCCCACAGATGGAGTCACCTGGTAACTGGCTGGATTAAGAGTTGAGGACAAGGTTTCCAAGGCAGGAGCTGGTCGGGCCCAGACATTTGGGGAACCTGACAGACACGGGCTGGCTCCGGAGGCCCAGAACCCCCGGACAAGGGGCCAAAGAGAAGCGGAGGAGACCAGAACACAGTCCCCAGGGGAAAGGGCTCCCACCAGGGCTCTCGGGGGTGGGTCTGGAAGTCCTCGAAGCTCCGCGGCACCCTTCCCAGCCTTGCTGTTCATCTCGGCAAGGAGCCAGTGGTCTCTCTAGAACAGAGCTCTCCAGAACTGGGCCTGGCATTTGAGAAACCACAGGGAGACGGAGCCTGCTCTGCCTTCCCAAGTCCTCAGCTTCCTGTCACTGGCCTTTGACATGGGTCAGAGATGTAATTCACTGCATTTCAGGAAAGCCAAGCAGGGCTTGAGGCTGCCTCGGGAGGCTTGGGGCGATCCCTAAGGACGTGACGGCGGACCCTCGATTCATCCTTCTCCCAGCTAAGTAAACGCCCACCTGAGCCACACCTCCTAAATGACGCACCCTCCTCATTCAGGGTCCCGTGGCCAAGGGGGAGAGTGACCATTCAGAGGGAGTGTGTGTGTGCACGGAAGAGAAGGGAGAGTACTTTCAACGACATGGCTTGCCCGCTCCTGTCTGCTCAGCCTTACCTGGCCCCAGCAATGGCATAGAAGGGTCATCAGAGCTACTACCACAGTAATCATTACCATCCTCCAGCTCACTGCTGACCGTGTTGCCATTTGCAATGGTCTTTTGTTTGACTGTGAAAAAGGCCTGCATCTTCACATTGTACCTGCAAGGCAGTTAAGGCGGGAGGTCAGAGCTGCGGGATAGACGGGGCAGGGCCCTCCCCCACCTCCTTCCCCTGTGCACCTGCAGTGAGCATGGCCCTGGGGGAGCCGGTGGGGGGCTGAGGCTTCTCAACCCAGCTGACAGAGGCTCCTGACCACAACCTTGGGATGATGTGCGCTCGCAGGGGGCCTGCTCCTCCCGAGTGGGCCTCCTGGGGCCATAGGAGACCTTCAGCCCGAGAAAATGACTGACGCCTACTTCTGCGCGCTATAAACCTGTCCTGACAAAAGAAGTTCAGCCCAGCCTCGGAACAGGCTCGAAGCAGGTGTTCCCAGGGCTGGCCTTGCTCCCGTGCGCTGCCTGGGGGCCTTTCCCTGTACCATCCCAGCCAGCACAGCTGCCCACACCGAGAACAGACTCCATCCCAGACCCCAGGCTGGTGGCCCCACTGCAAGGCACTCAGAGAGGAGATGGTTTAAGGACCATTCTCTTGCAGTTTGACAGCTTATCACCCATTTTTATAAAACATTATAAACATTTTAGGTCAACGGGGGATTCAGAGCCTCGTAAACCTCAGTGGTGTTTTCCTTTTTAATTACCTGCGGAGGTGTGAGGAGAAACTGACAAACTTGAATGTGGCTTAGCTCGTGGGTTGCCTTTTTTTTTCTTTTAATTGTAGAAAAATACATACCACATAAAATTTGCCATTTTAACTATTTTCCATTTTTAAGTGCACAATTCAGCGGTAGTAATTACATCCGTAAGGTTGTGCGACCATCACCACTATCTAGTTCCCGAATTTTTAGTGTCCCGAACAGAACTCTGTTCCCATTCACCACGAGTCACTAATTACTCCCTCGCCCAAGCACCTGGTAATCAAGCTCTAATTTGCTGCCTGCCTCTAGGAATCTGCGTCTCCTCAGTACCTCACGTAAGTGGAACCGCACAGTATCTGTCCTTTTGTGACTGGATCCCTTTCACTCAGTATCATGTTCTCAAGGTTCATCCACATTTGTGGCATGAGTCAGAATTTCCTTCCCTTTTTATGGCTGAATGTTAATTCATCATGGGTAGCTTTGAGATGATTCTGACCTGGGCAGCTTCTGGAGGGCCTCAGGGTACACAAGCCTGGCGCCAAGGTCTGCATCTTTACAACTACAAGCGGTGCCCAGTGCAGTTGCGCAAGGTGGCAGCCCCGAGAGGTGGCATTTTATGAAGTCTGACAAAATGGAGGTGCCCGGCTCTTTCAAAAGAGTGGCATTAAATTATCAGGCGATTTATAGAGTCAGCACAAACGAGCGGTCACCCTGCGGCACGGGCCGGGGGTGTGGACCGGGCTGGGAGAGAGGTCCCCTCTTGCTATTTGTTTTGGGAGGGGCCTCAACCTCCCCCCGACCAGCCAGCCACCTACCGCGGCCCAAGTGCGACAGCACCCTAACACAGAGGCTGACTATCTCTCTCCCACGCTGCCCCAGCAGGGTGTCCCCCAGAGAACTGGGGTGGCCAGAAGTGACGGCAAGGGCTGAAGGAGGTTTTCTTCCTGCTCGGACAAAAGGCTACAGCAGGATGTGAGACCAGGGGTGAGACAGCCCAGAAGAGGAGGAAGGGCACTTACTTCATGATCAGAATGTAAAACACGTACAAGACGATGAGCACCAGGCCTTCCCACCTCAAAGACAGAAAGGAGACTGGTTAGAGCCGGGAGGCCCGCGGCGCTGAAGGCTGGGAGTGACCGGCGCGGCGGGCGGAGCAGGGGGCATGGTCCTCTCACCATCCTTGACCCGGCGCCCGGCCCAGGACCCAGGCATGCGGGCGAGCCACCCAGCCCCCAGCCGTCCTGCAGTCTGAAGCTCGCTTGGTAACGAGAAGGCTGAGGGTGGGGCCTTCTCAACTACAGGGGGTCTCATCTACACGGCTCAGGAGGAGCTCCCCCAGCTACCCAGAAAAAGGAGGGCCCAAGGCCACCTCATCCCAGACTCAGGGAGGGGAGGAGCCTGGAGTCATGATGTTAAGAGCCCCTATGGTCACCCGAGATTCTGGCCAGCGACAGGAGAAGCTGTGGGTGCAGGTGGGAAGGGACCCTAAGAACTGCCTGAAGAGATGGGCCAGTCACAGGAGCCTCCTGGGCCAAATACGGGGGCTGGGCTGGGTGGGGGTCTTTCTGGGGTGCACTCTTATCGCCGTCCTGCAGAACCAGCGTTCAACCCCACACATGGTGGGGATTTTTGTAGCTCAGAACACAAGCCTCTGAGGAGTCACACAGCTTAATTTGTTGGGTCATCTGACAAGTGTGTCCTGAAGACCTACTATGTGCCTGACATGAGCTACAGTCATCTTGGGGAGCTCTTCCTCTGCTAGCCCACAGCCCAGCAGAGCCACAAAGGAGTCTGTAGATGACCCGACCACTCCCTCAAAACTCCGTCTGCAGATGAGGAAAAGGAGACCCAGAAAGGGAGAGACTTCTTGGCTCACACGGTGGGTTAGGACCCAGAACCAGGATGCTCTGGGCCCATAGCACGCAGCCGCTCGCATCAGTTCTCCTGAATCTATGCCCAACAAATAACCATATACAGGATGCAGACCTGAATCATGGTCAATGAACAGAACCGTTTTTATGGCTTATGGATGTAAGATACATTCATGCCCTATAATTAGAGTGGCAACATCAACCTCTTTAGAAGTTTGTGCTTTATGCATCTTGATTAAAAAATCACTTCCTACCTCCATATCATAAAGATGAGTCCCTATATTCTACCCTAAATTGTTTTAATTTTGCTTTTCACAGCGAGATCTTTAATCCATCTGGGATTTATTCTTGTATAAGGTGTGAGGGAACGAGCTGATGTTATTTTATTCTATATGAATTCCTCATTTTTGTAGTATGAGGACCACTCCCGCCTCTCCCAACTCACTACCTTGTCATGATTCCTGTCGTATCCCCCAGTCCAGAACTGGGCCCATTACTGGGTTCTCAGTTCCATATTGGCCTATGCTTATCCCTGTGCAAAACACCATACTGTTTTCATTATTTTAGCTTTATAATATATCTTGATATCTGGCAGGGTGGGAATACTAAGGGAAACAATTTTTGCCACTTTGAAAGGATAAATAAAGGCATGACTGCTTAGAATGATACCCTTTTTACTTTCACAAGTTCATAAACTTATGTTTGTAAAAATAATTTTAAAAAAGCTTCAATGAACCCGACAAGCAAGGATACTAACAAAAAAGGAACAACGAGAAACAAACTTTAAAAACTTACCACACAATTTCTTCATCATATATGAACTGGAAGGCAAAAGAAACAAAGGGCGGGGCAACAGATTTATTCCAAAAGAAGAACAAACGCAGACCTCTAAGCGCCCAGAGCCAACACATAGGCTAGTTATGTGTTTCACAGAAAGCTGGCTCTTCTCTCCATGTCTGGGTTTCTCAAACATAGAAGGTGACCTTTCCTTAGTGGAAACCTTGGTCAGTAGATGCCGCAGTATGAGGTCTAGGGTGGGTCTCCAGAGAGAACTGGCCTGTGCTACCAACAGTCCAAGTAGCCACTGGGGCCAACCTGGCAGGGGTCTGCCCTCATTAATGGAACAGAGCTGCTGAAATCAAGACTCTTAAAAACTGAAAAGGCATCTCTGTATGTATGTATGTTTGTGTCTATCTGCCTACTTACCTATCTATCTATCTATCATCTACCTACCTACCTACCTACCTATCTATCTATCTATCATCTACCTACCTACCTACCTATCTATCTATCTATCTATCGATCGATCGATCAATCTGTGGTACCTCTGTGTGTGTGGGTGGGGAGGAAGGGGTGTCATTTTTTAAAAAATAAAGAGTAACCCCTTTGGAAACTCTGAGGGCAAAGGACCCATTTGTACCATTTGAAAGGAGGCCAGGGGTGATGGTGGGGATGCCGTGGCTTCCTAAGAGGGCACTGACATTGCCCAACAATTCCACCCAGCATTGCCTACGTGGGACACGGATGAATGATGCTTCCGTGGTCCAGGGGAGGAGTCCTGTGACCGCCCCAGCCAGGCCCAGTGCACACAGGAAGGTGGAGGGGCAGTGCCCACCAATCTGATCTTGGAGACACGGATGCCAGGAGAGACCAGGGGGATGTTGTCTGGACTTGGGCCCATTGTACCCCTCTCCTGGCTGTCAGGGCAGGCAGCACACACAGAATCTGCTTTGGGAAGTCACTTCGGAGAGGGTCCTCCTGGCTGGGCATTGCTGTGAGGCTCCCCAGACTCAAGCCTCTGAGGAAGAGGCGCTCAATAGAGGGGAGCTCAGTGCCACCACCTGGGAAACCTGGGGGACATTTACGGGGATAGTTTCAGCTTTTCTAACCCAATGGAGGGCTACTGGCATTTAGAGGCAGTGAAGGCCCGGGGTACCAGTCAGCCTAGAGCATGTGAAATGGTTCTACCGGAGGAGTTCTTCCGTACTTGGCACACGTCTTAAATGTCCTGCTAGATATTTAGGCAAGTAGAAAAAAAAATGACCTGAGCCTCAACCTTAATTCCATTTTGCAAATCAAAGTATTCTTACATGGTTTTAATAAATACTTAATTTTCTAGTGAGTTAACTGTCATGCAAACGGAGGGATGATTGTACTTGGCTCTGTTTAGGATTTTATCAGGAGTCATTCATAATTTTGGAAAATCACATCATCAAGGTCGGCTCCACTCACAGGGCTGCCAGCCCAGCATACCAGCCTCAGTCTGCACTGGTAGCTGTAGGGCCTGGAGATTTCCCATATGGGGGCAACGGATCACATCATTCAGCATTTAGCACCTTCATGCCCAAACATTTACCCATTGAAAGATGTATTCTTTTATTATGAATTACTTTTATTTGTCCTTTATGGTATAGTTTGGGCATTATATTGATTTTGTAAAATTGTGTATAGGTAAATAGTTTTATCTATAACTTTCATTTTTGGGGGGTGTGGGGGGCAGCCTCTCAGGTGCCCCGATGATCCCACTGCCTGATCTTCATGCTCGCCTGTGTGCGTGGCCTGAACATAGGGATTTGCTCGTAACAGAATATGGCAACAGTGATGGGCTGTCACTTCCGAGATTCGGTTGCAAGCAGACTGTGGCTTTCAGCTTGGTGCCTCCTCGCCCCTGCTGGGAGGGAAACCAGTCCCCATGCCGAGAGCTGCACTGTGGAACAGCTCGAGGCCGGCCTGCAGCCTAGCGAGTGATCCTGAAAGCAGATCGTTGCCCACGGGAGCCTTGACATAACTATACCCTGGCCGACACCCGTAAGCCAGAGGGCTCGGCTAAGCCACTCCCAGATTTGATGCATGGAAAATGGAAGCAAGAAACATTTGCTGTTTTAAACTGCTGAGTGTTAAGGGAAATTTGTTACACAGCAACAGATAACTAATATAAGGGTCATGATTATCAAATCCAGTTGGCTCCAGATGTTCTTAGGTTGAGAACTGTCACTCTAGGGCACGCTCCATACTCTGAAGTCTGGGCATGCCATGTGCATCTGCCCTCTTGAAAATGACCTGCCCTCATGCCCCCACTTTAAAGCTCCTTTTGGATGGAAGCTCTTCCCCTGTGGATGGCAGTAACCTGTGTCATGGGCTGTGTCACTGTCATGTGCCATGATGTACCCGAGCCCTCAGGGATCTCTGTTTCAGTCCCTCTGCCTTTTCTGCCCATATCCTTGCTCCTAGCTGCCAACCCTGACTGCTCCCAGCTGGCCTCTCTTCCCTGCTCCGCGGTAAGGTGGGACACCAGAAACTCTGCTCTTTAGTAAATGGGCTCTAAGTGAGGATCTGAGGGCCTCTGAGGGCATGTGCTTGAGCTTAACTGCATCAACCGTATGATGCCTTCTTAGGTTTTTCAAGGCCTTTGTGCCCTCAAGGTGGTACCTGGATGTGATGGGTAAGCAAAGCATCAGGTATGAGATTTTCGGGACAGGGAGGCACGGTGGAGGGAGACTGGTCCACATGACTGCAATGAGTGGCCAGCACACCCCAGGGTAGGGGCGCCGTGGGTTCTCTGTTTCTAGTGCCAGGGACAGAGGTGGGCAGGGCCCCGGTGCCTTCGCAGGGGCGGGGGAAGGTAACTCACGGCAATGAGCACAACAACAGAGAGGGTGTAGTACACAGAGTCTCGGCACACGGCCCACCACGTCAGACGGATGACCTGCTGAGCAAAGGGACATCAGCTGTTACTGGCTGGGGAGATGGGGTACGGGGGCCAGGGGACACTGCTGGGGGGCTCCCACCACCCCCAGACCCCTGCAGGTGCAGACACATGTCCACGGAGCTCATCTTAACTGTGCCACCAGAACCACATCTTGTCTGGCCGTTCAAGGCCACCCTGTGCTCTTTGTCACATTTGGGGACGGAATGATACCACATCATGTTCCTAAGTGATGGCAAAGCTGCCCCCTGTTCCTCCAAGGTGACCACATGTCATGTTTCCCAGCAGAAGCCATGTGTCGGGGGAGAGGCCAGAGGCACTCACTCTTCCCTCCGATGTTCGAACCTTCCGGGGGTGACCGGCTGCCTACCTCTAACTCCCTTGGCCGGGCGGGGCCTACCCTTGAGCCTGACTCTCTGAGATTGAGTCTAATGTCCCCCTGGGGCTCTGAGGACCAGGAAGATGCGATGGGGTTTCAACAACAAGCCAGCTTCGTGCGTCCTGTGGGGAGGCCGAAGGCGGGCCCCAAATATGTGTGAGGTCTAGCTCAGGGTCAGAGTTACAGGAGACGCCTCTTAAATATTTACTGCTGTTGAATGAACGCTCCCCCCTTGGACCAGCCACGGAGCTGACGCTCTTTCTGCTCTCAGACCCACCGGTGGAAGGAAGGAAGGACAGCCCTGCTACACGTGAGGAAGCAGGCTCGGAGAGGAAACCGTTTCTGACAGCCACAGCACTTACGGGCTCGGCTAGGGCTAGGCCTTGGGTCTCCCCGCGCTGTCCCTATGTCATATCGTACGGAGAGAGAGACCACTGACCTGCCCTGCGGACAGTCCACAAACTCCGATTATACACAGGATGTTGAACACAGCAGAGCCCACGATGGTCCCAACCCCGACATCCCCATGAGTGATGAACACACCTGGAAAGAGAAAGGCACAGACACTCCTCTGCAAAGCCCAGGCCTTCCGCTTCCTTAGACCCGGGCCGGCTCTGTGTCCCCCACCCCATGAACGGAGGGAAGCTGTTCTTATTATCAGAGAGCACCAGCGACGCGGTTGAGGACAGCAAAACCAGAGGTGGAGGTGCCCTCAGGGACCGGCTACTCTAATGCTCCCACTTTCTGAACAGCTTTATTGAGACGTAACTCACATGTCATAAGATTCACCCATTTAAAATGTCAATTCAGTGTTTTCTGGTCCAGCCACAGAATTATACAGTCATCACCACAATCTAATTTTAGAACATTCACTTCACCCCCAAAAGAAACCCCATACCTGTTAGTACCCCACTCCACCTCACACCCCTGGGAACCACTAATTCAGTTTCTATCTCTCTACTTCTCCCATTTTACAGATGAGAAAACTGAGACTCAGAGCTGACAAATGCCCACACTAGTCTGGACACCAAACCTGGGCTCTCTCTGCATCCTGCGTCTTGGGGCGACGGGACTTCTTACCAATTACAGAGGCAAACAGCTCTGGCGTCGAGCTTCCTGCAGCCATGAAGGTGGCTCCAGCCACATCTTCGCTCAGATGGAGTTTCTGAAACAGAAGCGACCGCAGACCCTCAGGGCTGTGAGGTGGGGGCAGTAAACATGCCAACTGGACACTTGGCAGCCAGGGAGAGTGCAGGGGAGCAGCATGGCAGCTGGCGTCGCGGCCTCTCCTCCCTGCACCTCCTCCACACTGCCAGGCACTCAACCCAGAATCGCCTGTCCCCTTCCCCCATCTGTCCATTTCTGTTCGCGCTCTGAGCCCTGAAATAACGTCTCCTTGATGAAGTCTTTCTAAGTGGCTCCCACGAGCCAGCCACTCCCCTGGGACAGAGGAGCTGAAACACGAATCACGCAGTGAGGGTCTGAGGTCCATGCGCTTGCCTCCCCACTGGATGACGAGGACGAGGTTGGCCTTTTCCATCTTTGGATGCCTAGCACAGGGTCTGGTGCTCAGCGGGGAGTCCACCAGTTTAGCGCCCATCTCCTCTGGTGCTCACACAGACTTTGGGTACCAAGCGGACCTCCACACGTCAGGTTGTGGGATGTGGAGGCCTCGGATGCACAGCCTGGCTCCTGCATCCCAGAAGGCCTTCTCAGTGGCAGGCCCGACACCTGGCTGCTCACTGAAACAGACCCTCACATCCTGTCCCCAGGGCTGAGCCAGCACGGGACAGGGCTGGAACCGTCAAGGCCCACTCTGCTTGGTAACGCTGTGCTCTGGCCGCAAAGGCCCGTCCTCTCATCTGCAATGTGGGGCTGGAGGCTTCGGGTGCTCGGGAAAACCACGGAGATTCTGGGCCCACCTGAATGCCAACTCGAAGGTGCCCACCTGTGGTTCTCAGAAGGCCCCTGGGCAGGCTGGCTCAGGGCAGGGTTCGGCCTCCTCCTGCCCTCACCTCCCAAAGCACTCCTGGGCAGCCTGGGCTCTGAAGCCACTGCAGCATCCAATCCCTGGGCCAGCACAACCTCCCCACTGAGCTTGCTACAGAAGGGGTCCTCGCAAGGGCTGGAGCTCTGGGCTTGATGCAAAATGGGGTGGGGGCTCATCGCTGACCCCAGGAAGAAGCCCGGCCACCTCAGCCCTGCCGCAGAGGAGGTGCCGCAGCGTTTCAGCCACTGAAGCACCTGTGATAGCTTTTAGCAGAACCCAAACCATGCTACATCCTGTCCTGCCCCTCCCTGCCTCTGCCTGGGCCTGCTCCCCGCCCCGGTGCTTCTTGGCCTGGTACCGACACGCCACGTGTCAATCACCCCCAGCCCCTCACCCAGGCTTTTGCCAAAGGGTCCTAAGTCCTTCCCACGTACCTCGCAGATCTTCTCTAGAGACGGAACGAAGAAGTCATCGCACACTATGGCCAAGGCGTAGAACATGTACAGAGCCTGCGAAGGAAATGGGGAGACAGAGAGCGTCAGCCAGAACTCCTGCCACTGATGGGCACGGCCAGGCGTCCATCACCCTCCAAACCAGCCTGCTCGGGCAGAGGCCAGGAGACCAGAGGGAGGCACCGAGGAAAATTCCAGCACCACAGAGATGTGATTCCTCAATTCCCTCACTGACAGATGGGGAAACTGAAGCCCAGACAGGAGACATCACTTGCTGAGCAGTGGAGGGGACTAGAACTCATGCCACAGGGTCCTGTGCTTCTTCTTAAAGAAGCAGCTCTCTCTTCAGCACCACGGTAGGCCCTCAAAAGGCAAGATCCTAATCTTAAGCGCCAAGGGGGAAAGCATTTAAAATTGCCATTTTAAGGGTTTAAAATAATCATCATCCTGATTTCCCCTCGTTAGTTTTAGAGAAGGCATCATTTCCTTGTTACTGACTGCCCGCCTCCTGCCAAAACAGACGGCGACGTGAGACCCAGCCTTTTCTCGGACGCTGCTTGATGTCGGTCCAGGTTAAAATCCACAAGCCATTTACACTGGGAGGCTCATGGATCAGAGTCCAAATTCCAGTGCTAATCCTGGGAATTATCTGCCTTGGGATTTTGGATAAGTCACATCTCCAGGTCTCAGTTTCTTCTGTTTGATGACAGAGGAAGAACAGATGGGTAGTTTTTAGACGGTTTTATCTACAGAACTCTTCCCTGACCTGTCCACCCAACACGGCTCTACTGAGCTCATCTTATGTGCCAGGGACTATTCTAGCCATTAGGGATAGGTGGCGAGGATGCCAGGAAAAGCCTCTGCCTCTTTGTGGGGGACGAGCAGATAGGCAAATGAAGTATCTGTAACTGCCAGGAAACAGCAAGTGCAAAGGTCCTGAGGCAGGAGCATGTTTGATGCATTTGAGGAACAGCAAGGTCACTGGTGCAGGTAGAACAGAGTGAGAATAAGGTGGAAAATAAAGCATGTGACGCTGGAGGGAGAGGCAAGGAGCAGGACCTATGGAAAGGAGATGGGATTTGACTCTAGGCTCTGGTGGAAACCATTTCTTCCTCAAAGAAAAAGTGACATGAATGGCCTATTCACAAAAGAGGGAAAGGCTGGGCTGCTTCAGCTAAAACAGCGTGATATTATGACAACTTTACAATTAATTAACTGTGACTGAAGTGGAAGATGTATCAACTGTGACCAGAGCATCTGAGGCAGATGTCTCCTGGAGTAGACATCTACTCTACTGGAGTCCAGGTGTGGCTTTCGCTGAATTTGACACATTATCTTTTGGTGGGGGGGGAAGGAAAAAGGAAACAAATACTGGGGGTGTGGGTAAAGTGGACAGAGAGAGGTGGGAGAGACGCTGCTACAAAGCTTAGGATACCGACTGAATTCACACCCTCGGAAGTTCCCCCCAACAGCATCTCCCAGGCAAAGGGTGTCCCGTGAGGCTGAAGGGCCTCTGGCTCCCCTGACGCCTCAGAAACACTGGAGAGAAAAGGGGCCAAGATGTCACCACTGTTTCCTTCACTTGGGACAGAAGTTCTGAGAAGCTTCTTAGTGCTACAGACAAAAACTGGCTCTAAAGCTCCAGCCTTTTCTTGCTCTAAAGAAGGGCTCAGCAAACTTCCTTAAAGGGTCAGACAGTAAATATTTGAGTCCTCACAGGACACACAGTCTGTCTTGACTCTGGTGCTGTAGAAGAGTAGCCATGGAATGGGTGTGGTTGCATTCCAATAAAACTTTATTTATAAAAACAGGAGGTAGGCTAGATTTGGTTCTTCAGACATACTTGGGTAATGCCTGGACTAAAAGGTTCCTGCCTGGTGGAGCAGTGGTTAAGAATCCACCTGCCAGGGCTTCCCTGGTGGTGCAGTGGTAGAGAGTCCGCCTGCCGATGCAGGGGATACGGGTTCGTGCCCCGGTCCGGGAAGATCCCACATGCTGTGGAGCGGCTGGGCCCGTGAGCCATGGCCTCTGAGCCTGCACGTCCGGAGCCTGTGCTCCGCAACGGGAAAGGCCACAACAGTGAGAGGCCCGTGTACCGCAAAATAAAATAAAATAAAATAAAAAAGAATCCACCTGCCAATTCGGGGGACACGGGTTCAAGCCCTGGTCTGGAAGGATCCCACATGCCGCGGAGCAATGAAGCCTGTGCACCACAACTACTGAGCCTGCGCTCTAGAGCCCATGAGCCACAGCTACTGAGCCCGCATGCCACAACTACTGAAGCCCATGCGCCTAGAGCCCATGCTCCGCGACAAAAGAAGCCACCGCTGGGCTTCCCTGGTGGTGCAGTGGTTGAGAATCCTCCTGCCAATGCAGGGGACATGGGTTCAAGCCCTGGTCCGGAAGGACCCCACATGCCGCGGAGCAACGGAGCCCGTGCGCCACAACTACTGAGCCTGCACTCTAGAGCCCTCGAGCCACAACTACTGAGCCCACGTGCCACAACTACTGAAGCCCACGCACCTAGAGCCTGTGCTCCACAACAAAGAGAAGTCACCACAATGAGAAGCCCGCGCACCGCAACTCAGAGTAGCCCCCACTCACTGCAACTAGACAAAGCCCGAGAGCAGCAACAAAGACCCAACGCAGCCAAAAATAAATAAATAAAATAAATTTATTTAAAAAAAAAAAAGAGAGAAGTCACTGCAATGAGAAGCCTAGACACAGCAAGGAAGAGTAGCCCCTGTTCGCCTCAACTAGAGAGAGCCCGCGCACAGCAACAAAGACCCCACACAGCCAAATAAATAGATAATTAAAAAAAAAAATTTTTTTTTAAAAGATTCCTGCAAAATTCCTGAGGTCCTCTCAGGTTCAGGAAAAAAAGCTTTGTCAAGACTTTGATGAGGCAGAGGGACAGAACTATGGGACTAATTCGCCAAACCCACACCCCCTCAGTGAAAGGAGAGGGCATGGGAGAGCCAGAGATACTAGGAAGATAATAACTCTATTAGAGAAATAACACACAGGTCTGTCACTCAAAATTTGCCCACAACCTTCATTTTCACTAGTGGTTTATCCTGTTAATTAAAACTTCACTCATACATTATTCTCAGCTGGCAACTCTCTATGTGAGAATCCCAGCTTTCACTTGCTTAATTATCTCTTGCAAGGACGAATACTGTGTTGGGTTTAAATATGTAAGCAGATGGTGCTGGGTGGTCAGGGAACCACATCAGGAGGAACATTTGCTGTGACTGATGCGAAGTAGAAAATTAAACCCTGAGCACTCTCATTTCCCTGCAGTAAACAATGGAACTGGTAAACTTTTCCTACAAAGGGACAGACAGTAAATTTTTTTGGCTTTGTGGATCACGGAGTCTCCAACACAGCTACTCAGCTCTGCTAGTGAAGCCTAAAAGCAGCCACAGATGATACAGAAAAGCGTGAGAATGGCTGTGTTCCAATAAAACTTTATTTACAGACATGGGTAGTGGCTGCGGGCTGTAGTTTGCCTGCAGAGAAGAGCGACTTTTACCTATAATTTAGTTTTGAGCTCACTGTGCCTTTTTGAACTGCTACTTGAACTCCACCACTGGTCATCAGGCTCATCTAACACTGAGGGAAGTTTGAGAAGAAGGGCACCAAAGTCTTAAACTAGTTATGTCAAGGCAGTAAAATGTGGGGGATCCCAGGGATCATGATAGCAAGTGGGGACAGAGCCCTTATCACGGGCCCTGCGACGTCTGATGGACTTGACCCATGTTCACTTGTATTTATACATCTGGGAAAGATGCTGTCACTCCCATTTTATAAAAGCAGAAAATGAGGCACAAGAAGACGCGAATCCTTGTCTCGGCTCTGGGGCCACTCGCTGTGTGACACTGAACAAATCATTTCCTATCCTTAAGATTTCATTTCTTTGTGGTTAAAACACATCCAGCATCTGTTCTCACAGGGCTCTACAAAGACTGGATGAGATCTTTGACACACTGTGTTCTGAAGACAGGTTTCACATGCCTGAAGTTTAGGGACATCCCACCCCGAGAGGGCCACTTACACCAAGGATATGTAGCAGGACGGCTCCGTGCTGTCGCTCTTTATTGGAGAACAGGTCTGTGGGGAACTCATGAATCGCTGGAAGACAAGAGAACATGGTAAGGTATTCAATATTAGTTACCAGGGAGTGTCATTTGAGGGCTGGGGGGGTCGGCCATGGAACTGAAGAGCCCCCCTGGTGTTAGACTACCAGGGGAGAGGCCAGCTACTTCTCTGTCCAGCGCAGACCTGCGCTCTTAGGAAAACATTGCTGGATACGGAATTATCCAGATATTCTAGTACCTTAAAGTTGATCATGTTTTGCATATCCCTTGCAATTAAAAAAAAAAGAATGAAACACTTCATACCCACTAGGATGGCTATAAACAAAAAGACAGATAATAACAGGGGTTGGCAAGGATGTGGAGATACTGGAACCCTCATACATTACTAGTGAGAATGCAAAATGGTGCAGTCCCTTTGGAAAACAGTCTGGCAGTTCCTCAAAAGGTTAAACAGAGTTACCATATGACCCAGCAATTCCACTCCCAAGTATCTTCCCAGGAGAAATGAAAACATATGTCCACACAAAACCCACACACGAAATGTTCATAGTAGTATTATTCGTAATAACCCAAATGCAGAAAACAACCCAAACATCTACCAACTGATGAGTGGGTAAATAAAGCGTGATATATACATACAAATGGAATATTATTTGGCAATAAGAAGACATGAAGTACCGATACATGTTACAACATGGAGGAAGCTTGAGGACATTTTGCTAAGTGAAAGAAGCCACTCACAGAAGACTACCTATTGTAGGATCTCATTAATATAGAATGTGCAGAACAGGCAAATCCACAGAGATAGAGGCAGGTTAATGGCTGCCTAAGGCTGGAGGGTATGGAGTTTGGGGGGTGACAGCTGAAAGGTACAGGGTTTCTTTTGGGGTAATGAAAATGTTCTAAAATTGTTTGTGGTGATGCTTGCACAATTCTGAATACTAAGAGCCCCTGAATCGTACACTTTAAGCAGATGAATTGTATGGTATATGAATTACATCTCAATAAAGTTACCAAAAAAAGTATAAAGAAGTCAAAAGTCACCAAAGAAGAAAATCGGGATGGTTCCTTGCTTTGTCAATGGATTCCAGCCACATTCCTAGCAGACAGCTTTCCAAGTGGCTTCAACACACACTCGGATCTGTTACCAACACGATCCCTGCCAACGGGCAGGCTGAGGCCAGGGATGGCTGGCCTGCTTGGGAGCGCAGGCTCCAAGGTCACACGGCCAAGTGCAGTTCTCTGCTCTAATACTTACAGGCTGGGTCGACAGGGACACGTTCCTTAACCTCTTTGTGCCTCAGTTTCCTCATCGGTAAAACAGTGAGACTAATTTTAATAACGTGCCTTACTGTTACAGCGTGTCAAGCTTGTGGTGGGCTTCAAACCTGCATCCCCCCACCCCCCCGCCCAGGACTGTGGAATACTCTTCCCTCACCGTCAGGTCAGAACTGAGAAGCCGCTCCATGAAGGGGAAAGGGGAGGCCTATCCCCTTCCGCTAGAGTCGTTTCAGAGCTCAGGGACAGGCGGCCTCTTGCACAGCCCTTCCAGCCTGTCCCAGACCCATCAGCCCCTCCTCCCAATCTCTCCTCCTGCCCACAATGGACCTGTCACTCCAGAGGGGGAAGCCAAGATCCCAGAGAGGTCAAGTGACGTTGGCAGGGTCGAGGATGGCAGTGCTGGCACTAGGAAAACCTCCTGTCCCCAGGGAGGGCACTCTTTTAGCAGTGCCACACAGAGCAGGGGAAATGATCCATGGGAGGCGGGGCTCTAGGTAAGCCTTGGAGGGGCACCTGATGCCGCGCGGGAACAAGGGAGGAGGTGAGGACTGACAGCATCCTTGTCCCCTAACCTCTCAGGCCCACTCAGGTGCCAGGTGTGCTTCCACTGGCATAGGTGGCATCTCAGGTCACTGAGTACCACGTCATAGGCCCTTCTTTGGCCCAAGAATGCTTCTTGGACCTTAATGTCACCTATAATGGTGGGGTAATTCCTTCTCACCGCCCCGCCCCCCATTGGAGATGACCAACAGGTAAGCATTTTATTTTGTGAATGTCATTTTTGCAGGTTCCCCATCAGACACCAAAACACCCCCACGTCCTCGGCACTTCAGCTAGACCGGAAGCTTCTGGAAGGCAGGGATCCACATTGCCCCGCATTGCATTCACAGTGCCTCGGCCAGGCCTGGCACACAGTAGGTTCTCAAGAGACCTTAACATTCAGTTGAATAAACAATGCTAAAATACTAACAAAAATGACAATCGACCATCTACATCATCTCATCCTGTTAGAACGCTTTCGTTACCCTTGCAAACCTCTTAAATGCCTAGAATGATACCTGGTTCAGAGTGGGCACTTGATAAACGCTTAGAAACTTCCAGGACAAAAATCCCTTCTCTGTAAATATAATTTGGCTCTAAGCTCTGAAAGGATGGTTTCTCCCTTAAAACAGAAAACTCTTCTGTTTAAGATGAGATTCTCCCAACAAGACCCAGAAAACATTAGCTCCCCAGACTCCCAGACCATGTTCCCACTTTAAAACAAGCAGCATTTAATGAAACATAGATTCTTTCACTTTTTTTCCCCCTGTAATCAAACTTCTTTAACAGAATTGCTGCTGCCAGTTCAAGGGCATGGGTCTACTTCAAGGCTTGTCGGCTCAGAGATGGAGAATTATAAAGGCAGTAACTCGACATTCCTGCGTCCTGGACCTTGTTTCCAGGAGAAATGTAACTGTCTGGGATATTTCAGGGCAGATCAAGCAGACATTTCTGCCATGAAAATTCGAGCCAGTTTTTGATTCTCCAAAGCAGTGATTTATCCAACACTGGGCACTCTTGGAAAATTAGAATCCAGTAATGCTGCCTTTCTGCCATAAGGACATTATCGTCTGGGCTCCAGCAGAGAGGGGACGCGGGTTGTAAATGGCTTTGTCCTTGGTAGGAACAGGCTTCTAATGGTTCAGCCAAAGCGCCTTGCTCCGTGACCCCATGCGTACACTGGAGGGCTGTAGAGGGGAGTGAACGCCATCACGGTCTGAATTTTGCCAGTAGAGACAGAGTGACTGGCAGAGCTACCAGCTGCTAATCACCCTCTGTACCCACCCAAGTCTTCTGGACACACCCTGAGCCCATGAGGCAGGCACTGCAGCCACACATGTCCCTGTTTTCCAGATGAGACTCAGCGGGGGAGTGACTAGTTCAGGGACCATATAGGCCAGGACCCGGGAGGGGGATCCTGAGTTCCTCGTCCAGGGTTAAGGGCTGCCTCTAACATGGATAGAAATCATGCTGCACTGACTTGAAATGGAAGATTTGAATTGGGTCCTGATTCAACTACCCATCAGCTTGTGGGACCCTGGCCGAGTCGTTTCACCTCTCTGTCCTTCTATTTCTTCAGTGGCAATGTGCTGCCACGCAAGGTGGTGAAATAGTCATCGTTACTGCGTGTGCATGCCCTGCCGTGGATAGCAACGGCTGCAAGCGGGGAGATGGCCACCCTGCCCTCCCTCGTTGGCAGCTGGTAGCTGGGACCAGCCCACTCCCCAGTTTAAGAGTCAAATCCTCTAGAAATTGGCATACAGGGGATGGGGTGTAGAGACCATGGAGCACATGCAGCAGGAACTCTACCCCTCCCAACTTCGTCATCAACAGCAACAATTTTTTAATTTTTATTATTTTTAATTAATTTTTATTAGGGTATAGTTGCTTTACAATGTTGTGTTAGTTTCTGCTGTACAGTGAAGTGAATCAGCCATACGTGTACATATATCCCCTCTTTTTGGATTTCCTTCCCATTTAGGTCACCACAGAGCATTGAGTAGAGTTCCCTGTGCTATACAGTAGGTTCTCATTAGTTATCTAGTAGTGTGTATATGTCAATTCCAATCTCCCAGTTCATCCCTTCCCCCTTTCCTCCCATCCTGGTATCCACATGTCCATTCTTTACGTCTGTGTCTCTATTTCAACAGCAGCAATTTTAAACTGCAGGCAGCCTATACAGCGGCTTAAGGCTTTGTTTTTAGAAGCAGGTAGCTTAGGTTTCAGGAAGTGCCTCTGTCCTTTACTTGTCACCTGCATGACCTTGGCAAGTTGTTTAACACCGCAGGACTGTTACCTCACCTATAAATGGGGACGCTACAGAACCCGCCCGCCAGGCTGCTGTAAGGATTAAGTGATACAGATAGTGTATGCACAGCACTTAGCCCAGCTAGGCTGCCATCACTCTGAGGATTGTTGACTTACGGACTCCTCCCTCCACACCAGGTCTGTGCCCACTGTTCCAGAGGATGAGCCTTGCTTTGTGAAAGCAAAAGAGAAGATGAGATCAGCTTAGTGGGGGAAAGAGCAAGCGTGATTATACCGGCCATGTTAGGATGTGAATGCTGGTGCAGTTTAATCCCAGCTTCCTGAGAAAACCTTCTTCTCCTCTCTTGGGCTTGCTGGGATTGGGGGCCCGCGGCCACGTTCAACGGTGGGATGCTTGCGGGTCTGAGAGGGGCCGAGTCCGCCCTATCTGCTCAAATCCCCACCAGGGAGAAGAGAGGAATCAACAGGGCGCACACAAGCGGCTTTCGAGGTCACGCGTAAGCCTTTAAGCCGCAGAAATCTGGTGGGTGTAGGGAAGAGATGTGTCTGCAGGTGGAGCTGAGCTCAGGGAACCAGAGATGATTCCAGCAACGTCCACACCCGGGGGCGGGCAGGGGAGGAGAAGGAGGGGAGATAAAGCTGCCAGCGACCCAGCAGCCACTCCCCACCCCTCTTTTAGCATTCTTTCCTGTGGACCTCGGAGCCCAGAGTTGGTTTCTCCGTCACTCTTGGTTCTGGAACTTCCCCCCACCACTGTGTGTAGGGCAGGGGGGAACTGGGGCGGGAGGTCTTTCCTGCCAGTTGCCTTCCTGGACATTGAGGGGGGAAATGTAAGGTCCCAGGGGACATCTGCCATCCCTTCCCCATCACTAGCTACTAAGTTCTCTAACACCTTATAAGCCAGACCCCTAGCGCACCCTTGACCTTTCCTGTTGACACACACAG